GGGCACTAAAGGTGACAAGTCCAACCACCTTTAGTACTTTGGCTTCCAACTCTCACACCCATGTTCCCTACTCAGTTCACACCAGTACTTACATACTCTTTTGGGATTATACGTTGGATAAATACATATTTAGTACAAATACAGAGAAACACCCGTACACTATTAACAAAATACCATATATATCGGTCAGGAAAAAGTTGGCAAAGCTTATAGTGAACAGTTTCTAGCTGTTCTCTATTCTCAGAAGACTAACGAGCTTAGAAGATTTGCTTGGAAGATCTCTACCACTGGCCAAGCCAGTTGAGGGAACCAAAAAATCTTAAGAAAGATATGCCAAAAAGATGAAGAAACCAAAGAACTAACGTAGGAAAAGGGACAGGAAAGCAAGGCAACCCAGGTGCCTTGACCAGCATGAAAACATAAAAAGGGCTCCGAAGAATCTGAAAAAGGTGGTGGCGTCCCCAAGAAACCAACGAATCATAGGAAGCTATGGATGCCGAATACGGAAATTTCGGTCACGAGGAATGCGACGATGCCCAACAAAATGCGAAAGCCCCCAGGTCTAAATATCCAAGAGAGTCGGAAAACAGCAAAAAAAAAATTGTAGAAACACAACAGTTTTCGGTTCTTCATTTCGGTAAATAGGAATTTAATTGACAGCCCCTATTACGGTAAAATTTGATCGCTTGTCGACCCACAATCATAATTTTGCAGACGTGAAGGCGAAATGTATGCGGCTAATGAAAAAAGGAAAGTACTAAATTACGCAAACGAGTCTTTATGTCTACTTGGAAACGCGACGCGTCTCTAATTTAAATTTTAACAAAATTCATGTGAATGTCCTCCGCGTTTTCATTATAATAATGGAGCGTCATTTTCTAGTAATTTAAGCTCGGTAGCGTTTTCTGATGCACATTCCGAGAAAGGCGCGGGTACATAATTTCGCGTGTCTGCCAAGGAATGATTAATCAGGGGAGCGTTACACGTTAACAAACTTTAATTACTTTCTGGTAACTTCCTTTAAGTTGGCGCCGTTGTTTTCAATTTCCTCGATCTTAATTTAGTTCAAAAGCGGATGCATCACCGGGGGGTGACATTCGTGGGGGAAGCACACGACTATTAAACAAATTGAAACTGCGAGTAATCGATGGAGTGCTCTTGTGATTTACAACCAACAATTATTACTAGAGTAGTTGGGTAGGTACAGTAAGCTGCTGACCAAAACTAGATACGTAAAAAATCTCCAGAAAACGCAAAAGAGCACGCAAAATTCGGTTGGGGATTGAGTTCAATTTCGAGTTGAAAATTGAATCCGAATTTACGCGAGGTTAAGGTTGTGTTTGAGTTGAAACTCGAAAACCGATGAGTGCCTGGAACTGAAACTCTGAAATTTATTTAAAAACTGCTACAGTGATTACACATAACACAAAGCAACCTTCACCAGCACCTTTGTTTAATTTATTTGTTTATTTAATTTGTACAAATATAAATTGAAAATACAATACCTTCCTTAAACATGGAGACGGTGGTTTTTTTCGCGTAAATACGCCCTTAAAATCTTTGTACTCCATTTTGAATCACCCTGTATATCGCGGTTTAGTTTGCTTATTTCCCGCCGTACGAATCAAACAAGAGCAAGGGCAATCAATCACACCGAAATACGACCAACATACGCTACGTTGAATTTTCCACGATTTTGAAATGACCTCATACGGAATTCGCAGTTGTAATCAAATAGCCCTAGTTATGATAACCAAATATAGTCCAAATCCGGACATCTCGTTTTTGGAACTCGTAACTAACAATGAAATTTTTACCTGCATACAAATCACAATTAAAAGCTTGGCGAAGATTTTAGTTTTACGCGCTCGACCTGGATAGGTTATCTTCGAGAGTTTTAGTAAGAAACCCGCTCTCCCACCAGATTTTTACTTTAGTATTCGCTAAATCCCAAATACAAAACGGACCCAGCACAATTGAAGCGTTCACTCTGTTGTTTATACACGCAAAGCAATAACAGAAAATATTTCTGTCACTCTCCGTTGCGACTTTTATCTGCTTGAACACTTGGTTCTTATCTTAACGCGCTTCATTCTATTGGATAGTAGTTCCGTTCTTTTTCGCTATGAAGCGGTACACGTATACATCTTCCTATAGTGGCAAATCTGTAAATTTAATAAAAATCTTTGAATCAAGTAAGACGGTAAATATTTATGTTAAAAAATATATCTTTTTTATTATAGTACAAACCTTTAAAATTAAGGGCTAACATTCTATGGTTACCTAAATGGTAGAACAATATGTAACTACTCGTTCTACTATTTAGGTAACCATAGAATAGCCCTTAATTTTAAAGGTTTGTACTATTATTATTTTATCTCTTTGTTTGTTAAACTAAACTTATAGCCAGAAGATGACGGTAACGTCGAAACTAGTCGCAACTATTTATTCCACAATTTAATCAATAAATTTAATAGACGCATGGGGAAGGTTTTGAGTTTTTAATTCCACCCTAATTTCTTCGATGTCCACCCCATTTTGAGTTCAAGAAAACATGGATACCCTCAATTCTTCATTTTTTAAAATAAGAGTCTTGAACATTAAGCCTAATCTTTATTTTCAAAATTTATTAACCATAAACCATTATTATGCCAATAAATTTAATTTTTAAACAAATATTTTATTATATTCAAAATATTTATAAATTTAAATATTTCTATTAACATTAATTTTTAGGTAACCATAGAATAGCCCTTAATTTTAAAGGTTTGTACTATTATTATTTTATCTCTTTGTTTGTTAAACTAAACTTATAGCCAGAAGATGACGGTAACGTCGAAACTAGTCGCAACTATTTATTCCACAATTTAATCAATAAATTTAATAGACGCATGGGGAAGGTTTTGAGTTTTTAATTCCACCCTAATTTCTTCGATGTCCACCCCATTTTGAGTTCAAGAAAACATGGATACCCTCAATTCTTCATTTTTTAAAATAAGAGTCTTGAACATTAAGCCTAATCTTTATTTTCAAAATTTATTAACCATAAACCATTATTATGCCAATAAATTTAATTTTTAAACAAATATTTTATTATATTCAAAATATTTATAAATTTAAATATTTCTATTAACATTAATTTGAAAGTTCTAAATACAGTAAACCCCTACTACATTTCCTTCGTATATAATATGCCAGCATGTGTTATCGATGTATTTATAAGACTTTGTTTGAAATATGCTTCCTACTCATCCGCCCCAAGAGCTTTTCATATTCTTAGGATTTTGCAGGTACCAACTTTTTCTACTTCTGCAACAAGAACCGTGTATTATCTTCTTCAACCCAAATGATTTTATTTAAAAAGGAGATTTTTTTTAAGTAAACGTCAAGTGGCATTTCAATGGCAATCATGGAATTACGAATAATGAGCCCACTTAATTAGAAATGTATTCGAGCATATTAATAATAATAATGGTTTTTATTGATTAGGTTTTTCAATTTATTTCCCTTATTTTGAAATTTTATTGCAGGTATAACAACTAACTAATATACTATTTTTGTGCATTTACAAAACCCCGTGTTAATTAGTTTTGGTCTGCATACTGGAGCAAATGCCGAAGATTTATATTTAAATAAAAACAATTCTCAAAAACGTACTCGTCATGATTATTAGCAATTGAGTCGTTGAAAGGTCCTTTTTAACGAATTGTGCGATTAAAAATATGATCTTCTGCTGCGCCCTAAAGCATATGGTGACTCTTTATGTTTAAACAATGAAAATCTAACTTGGGTACAAATTAATTTTTAATTCATAATAATTCATAATTTTTCTTATCCTGGAGAAAGCCCTGAACGATATAATTTTTAAGAAGGTACAAGGGCGATTTCGTAAAGAATCCTTAATGCCTCAGAATTTTAACAATCCAAGAGCATCTACCATTGTAGACGTTGCTTTGGTCGGAATTGACAATGGTTGTCGTTTCGAATGGCCCCCTGGAGTTATTACGGAGATACACCCTAGACGTAATGGAAAGTTGCGAGTCGCAAATTGGTTTCTAGTCCATAACTTTTGATTGAGAAGTCCGATCGAAAAAGTACGAATTGTTTTAGATTCTACGCACCAAAATTAATAAGAAAAAGTGCTTTCCCGAGAAATTTTGGTGCAGTCGATGTTTGGTAAAAAAGGAAGGTTGTACACTGCCTTTTTTTGATCCCCGAAAAAAAAATTGTCTCAGATCGACCCGGAAAAAAAATGTCTTATAGAATGTGGCCTGTAGAATCCATAATTTCAAACAGTTCCCAGATTGGGCTACTAGTTCAAAAATTACAGCCCTTTGAATTTTCTTTCGAAATTGGTTTCTAGTCTATTACTTTTGATTGAGAAGTCCGATCGAAAAAGTACGAATTGTTTTGGATTCTACGCACCAAAATTAATAAGAAAAAGTGTTTTTCCGAGAAATTTCGGTGCAGTCAAGTTTTGGTAAAAAAGGAAGGTTATACACTGCTTTTTTTTGAGCCCCGAAAAAAAAATTGTCAGATCGACCCGGAAAAAAAATTTTCTTATAGAATCTCGGAATCTATTACACCTATACAAACGGATGTGGGCTTAAATTATAGCAAATTTGGTCTGTTTTGAAAACTTATTGAACCGTTATTGCCGAAAAACCGGTCCTTCAGGGTTAAAATCGTCAAAATCTGAAAAGAAAACGAAAATTCCTCGGTTTTTAGTATATTTGACTATGTTGCGTTCGCCGCTCGAGGTCGAAAACTTGAATTATACATTGGGTTAACAACATAAGCAATCCCACGAAAAATCAGAACTACCGGATTTGACGCTTGGTACCCCCCTTTTTCAGGAACAAAGTTACTGGACTAGTAGTGTATGAAAACTGACCCCTATTTTGCCACCAGCACAAAGCACCTCATAGAAAGTCACGCGCCTGTAATAAAACGCTTCCATTACCTATCGATTTTATGAAAATGTAAATAAAACAATTACATCGATTTGGCACAGATTTATTGCATGTAGTACCTACATACACGTTGTTAGCAGGAAAATTTTACATTAAAATGTCGTGCAGGAGAGTAGTGGGCGGTGCAGGATGCTCTTTGACTTCGTTCAGCTCGAAATGATTACCCAACAGTTCGATCGTTTTAAGAGAGGGCGCATTCTCGAGCGCCTTCGAATCGAGCTTAGTCAAATTGTTATTCTGCAAGTCCAAAAATACGAGATCGTCCAGCTGGTCCTCCGATAAACTCGCGAAGACGCTGACATCGTTATCGTTCAATAATAGATACTGAAGCGAGCGAAGTCCGCTAAAGCTTCCATTAATACACGTCAAGTTATTGTAGCTCAAATCCAAAGACCTCAGCTGCTTCAAGTGGCCAAAGTAATAGCTTTCGACTTCGTTAATTCGATTCGCTCGCAATGATAAATTTCTCAATAGCGGAAGCTCGTCCAGAAATCCCGAACTCAAATCCGTCAAATTATTATAACCCAGATCCAATACGGTGAGCTGATTTAGGCCTGCGAAACTGTCATTATCTAAATTATCGATGCCGTTAAACGTCAAGTTTAACTTGGAAAGCTTCGAGAGCGGCGCGAATGATTTCGATTCAATACTCTCCAGAGTGCAGTTTCCTAAGAGAAGCGATGAAAGCGAAAGCAATCCGTTAAACGCCCCTTCTTTTATTGCCCGTATATTGGTGTTATCCAGATGTAACTCGAGCAATTGCGATAGACCGCTAAACGCATTGTTTTCTAATGTCCTCAATGGGTTTCCGCTTAAATATAGAAAGCCGATGCCGCTATTGTTGCGCTTTTGATAGCCCGCGAAGACGCCCTCTTCTATAGTGGTCAAATGATTGTTCCTCAGGTAGAGATAGGCGCAGTTCACGTGGCTAAACGCGCCCTTCTCCAACCTCTTGATGTTGTTATTATCCAAATTGAGACTGTTCAGCTCGGCCAACCCCTGAACGGCCTTATCGTCGATGAACTCGATTTTATTACCCGATAGATTAATATCCTGCACGCTTTTCAAGTTGTGGAATATTCCCAAGGGTATCATTTCGATTTCGTTTCCTTGCAGTTCCAAGCTGGTGACCTGCCCCAGTCCCGCAAACGACGAAATCCCCAACTCCTTGAGCCGATTATCGTTGATACACAGCTCCTGCAAGTTCTTCAGGTCGCTGAATACATTATTGGGCAGCTTCGAGATGTTATTGTTGCCCAATTTCAGAACGCGAAGATTCTCGAGCTTCATGAATATCGACCGATCCAACTCGCCCACGTTGTTATACTCCAACAGTAACTTTCTTAGGGAAACTAAATCGTCGAACACCCCCCTCGCAAATGTCCCGATTAAGTTACTGGTTAGATTTAGCAAGGATAACTTGCTTAATTCTTTGAAAGTTTGCGATTTTAAAACTTGAATTTCGTTGTTATCGAGATTTAAAGTTTCCAAGCTTGTTAAATTATTGAAAAGAGTTTCATCTAAATTTTTCAAGCCGTTCTCGGAAAGCGACAGGAGCTTCAGCTGAGCTAGACCGTTTAGCGCACCTCCCTCGATGTTCCCGATATCGTTATTATCCAAGTCGAGTACCTCCAATGAAACTAAATTGGCGAACGAATCGCTTGGAAACCGACCCATTGTCGTGTACTCAAATTTAATCGCCATTAAATTTAATAACCCATTAAAGAAATTAATTGGTATCTCGGTTATGTTCGATCTGCTGATCTTGATTGAGGTGACGTTGAAGTCGTCGAAGGTTTCCGACGTTAAGAAATCTAGCGTGCTGTTCGCTATTTCGATTTCTTGAAGCTCCTCCAGGGGAAACGATCCCGATATGACGGACTGATTGACGCGATTCCTGAAGTCCTCGACCGATACGATTTGATTGCAGGTCAACTTTTTGTAGTAGGGAAAGCCGCAAGATGGCTGCTCGGTTTCTGATGGTGCCACCAGTTTCGAACAAAGCAAAATCCATAGGAGTGCAAGAAACATTCTCACCTGTAATTAGATATAATATCAATATCGTTTAAATGCCCTAGGAAGCGCAAAAAGCTGATGTTTAGATATCGAAAAAGGGACAGTGCATTGTGGCTAACCCTCGCATTCTGCTGAGCAAATTGCCTCGACAGCTAATGTCATCCTAATTTGATTAAGGCCCAGCTTTTCAGTACTACTGTACCTATTTCCCTTGGCAATATTGTAAATCTGGCCTAAACCTAAATAAGCTTGTCCGTCTCAATTTTGTAGACCAATACTGATTCTATAGAATCTAGTTTGGGATGCGTTTTAAATGAATTTTGATTGAAATTTTTACTGAATTTATGAGAATTTTAACATAAGCGATGTTGCGATCTCACCATGCGGAATTTAGACATAAGTAAAATTGGATTTGAATCGAATTTTTACTGAATTTTAACTAAATTTGACCGTAATCTAAATTTACGGTGAATTTTTGGTGAATTTCTACGGCATTTGAACATAATCAATATTGCAAATACAATTTGTGTTGAATTTCAACCAAATTCGACCAAAATTCTAATTTAAAATGCTGATTGCCTAATATAACACGAATTTGAGTCGTATTTTTACCGAATTTTAACATAACTAATATTATACAGTCGAAGATTTGATCTGAAATTAATCATAATTCAATTTTTACGTCAATTCTTGCTAAATTTTTACAGAATTTGTAGTATAGCATTCCAAATGAATTTGAACTGAATTTACGGTTAATTTTAAGCAAATTTGTGGTGAATTTCAAATAAATTTGGCTATAATTTGAACAAAATGTGATTCGAGTTTGATATGAAATCGAATCTGACTTGTAATCAGCACATGAAAGTAATTAGACGTTTTTTTTACTGAATTTATGCGGAATTTAGACATAAGCAAAATTGAAAACGAATTTGAATCGAATTTCTACTGAATTTTAACTAAATTTAACCGTAATCTGTATTTACGGTGAATTTTTGGCGAATTTCTACTGAATTTGAACATAATCGATATTGGAAATATAATTTGTGCTGAATTTCAACCAAATTCGACCACAATTCTAATTTAAAGTGATTGTGTCAAAAAATGTAACTCGGAATATGACCCCAAATTGAAGTCAATTTAAATCGAAACGAATTTAAGGCGCATTTATCAAATTTTTATTAAATTTGCCTGAGTTATTAAAGCATATTAGGAGCAAATTTGTATCGAAATTCAACTAAACTTGATCTTAATCCAAATTTGAAATCAAATTCAAGGAAATTTTAACAGAATTTGAACAAACAGCTGGAATATGGTCCGAATTTAAGTAGTGCCTAATTTAACACGAATTTGAGTCGAATTTTTACCGAATTTTAACTTAAGTAATATTATAGAATCGAAGATTTGATCTGAAATTCATCATAATTCAATTTTTACGTCAATTCTTGCTAAATTTTTACAGCATTTGTAGTGTAGCATAACAAATGAATTTGAACTGAATTTGCGGTTATTTTTAAGCAAATTTGTGACGAATTTCAAATAAATTTGACTATAATTTGAACAAAATATGATTCGAGTTTGATATGAAATAGAATCTGACTTGTAATCAGCACCTGAAAGTAATTAGGCGGAATTCTTACTGAATTTCTGCGGAATTTAGACATAAGCAAAATTGGAAACGAATTTGAATCGAATTTCTACTGAATTTAAATAAATTTAAGGCGCCTTTGTCAAATTTTTACCAAATTTCTATTAAATTTACTGAATTTCAACAAAATTAACAATAATTTGACTGAATTTCTGCTGGATTAGAAGATAGCAGTATTAGAAGGAAATTTTTATCAAAATTCAACTACAATTGATCTTAATCCAAATTTGAAATTCATTTCAAGGAAACTTTAACAGTGAATAGTTGGAATATCGTCCGAATTTAAGTAGTGCCTAATTTAACACGAATTTGAGCTGAATTTTTATCGAATTTTAACATAAATAATATTATAGAATCGAAGATTTGATCTGAAATTCATCATAATCCAATTTTTACGTCAATTCTTGCTAAATTTTTACAGCATTTGTAGTATAGCATTACAAATGAATTTGAACTGAATTTGCGGTTAATTTTAAGCAAATTTGTGGTGAATTTCAAATAAATTTGGCTATAATTTGAACAAAATGTGATACGAGTTTGATATGAAATAGAATCAGACTTGTAATCAGCACCTGAAAGTAATTAGGCGGAATTCTTACTGAATTTCTACTGAATTTTAACTAAATTTTACCATAATCTTGAATTTGATACAAAATATTATGATTCGAGTTGGATATGAACTCGAATCTAACTTGTAATCAGCATTTGAAACCAGTTCTGATAAAATTTCAGAGGAATTTAGGCATAATCAAAATTTCAAACGAATTTAAATACAATTCTTACCGGATTATAACTATATTTGATCATATTCCGAATTTGAAGTGCATTTTACTACATTTCTGCTCCTTTTAAGCATAAAATTTGAATCGAATTTCTACTAAATTTTAACTAAATTTGACCATAATCCGAATTCAAGATGAATTTTAGCTGAATTTGAACTAAAATTGGCACGATTTTGATCTCAATTTGATACAAATATGGTTCGAGTTTGATAGGAGCTCGAAATAAGCACCTGAAACCAATTACATTGATTTTTACTGCATGAATTATAACTATATTTGACCATAGCCCGATCTAGAGGTGAACTTTACTGAATTTTTGCTGCGTTTAAGCATATTATGGCATGTTTGAAACGAATTTGTACTGAATTTGACCATAATCCGGACTTAGAATGTATTTTCACTAAAATTGATTCGATCGTCAGCAAAATTTAATTCAAATGTGATTCAAGTTTAATATGATTAACAAATATCCATCAAAATTTAGTGAATTTTAACTGAATTTGACGATAATCCAAATGGACAGAGTGCGACCCAAATATGATTCGAGTTAGATATAAACTCGATCCTATTTGGCCGTAATGCTAATTTTAAGTGATTTTTTACTGCATTTTCAATCAATCCCAATTCAAGATGATTTTTAGCTGACTTTTTACGAACTCGAATCTAATTTGTATGAACCAGACGGAATTTATCCGAATTTATGTGGCGTTTATGCAAACGCAATATTTGAAATGAGTTTGAATCGAATTTCTACTGAATTTTAACAAAATTTGATCATAACTCGAATTAAATATTATCTAAGGTTGATAATGAACTCGAATAAAATTTGTAATCGGCACCTGCAACCAACTAAACGAAATGTTTACTGAATTTCTTCGGAATTTAGAAATTGGAAACAAATTTTATTAGAATTGTTGCGGAATTAAAACTATACTTGGCCATAATCCTTTAAGGTGAATTTTTGCTAAATTTCTGTTTCGTTTAAACATAAAAATTTGTATCGAATTTCTACTAAACCTTAACTGAATTTTACCACAATTCGAATTCATGATGAATCTTAGCTACATTTGCACCTTGAACACAATTTGATTCAAATACAATTCGTGTTTCATATGAACTCAAATCTAACTTGTAATCAGGATCTGATACCAATTGGACCGAAATTTTACTATATTTTTCTGCGGAATTTAGACACAGATAGAATTTTGGCAGAATTTTAATCATATTTTTCCATAATCCGATTTTCGTGTGAATTTTTACTGAAATTAACCCTAATCGGAATTCAAGGTGAATTTTAGCTAAATTTACAGCAAAATTGACACGATTTTGGACCATATTTTAAACAAATATGATTTTAGTTTAATATTAACTCTAATCTACATTGTAATCATCACCTGAAACCAATTAGACGAAATTTTTACTGAATTGTGAAATGGCGGAATTTGAACGTAACAAAAATTTGAAACAAATTTAAATAGAATTTTTGCCGAATTATAATCATATCCATAATCCGATTTGTAGGTGAATTTGTTGCATTCAACCATAAGCAATATTTGAAAAGAATTTGAATGGAATATCTAACGAATTTTAACTAAATATGGTGATAATTCAAGAAGAATATTAACACAAACTTTGTCACGTTTTAAACAGAATGTGATCCAAGTATGATCCGAGTTTGATATGAACTCGAATCTATTTTTTTATCAGTACCTGAAACCAGTTAGATGGAATTTTTACTGAATTACTACAGAATTTAGACATATGCACAATTTGAAACAAATTTAAATAAAAATTGTTACGGAGTTATAACTATATTTGACCATAATCCGAATTTGAGGTGAATTTTTACTGGATTTCTGCTGCTTTTAAGTATAAACAATATTCAAAATGAATTTCTACTTAATATTAACTAAACTTGACCATAACCCGGATTTAAAATTAATGTTGACAGTATTTTGTAGTCAAATTGACACGATTTTGAACAGAATTTAATTAAAATAGTATAATCGGACGGAGTTTTTATCTGAATTTCGGTGGAATTTAGACAAGCAAAGTTTAAAATGTTAATAGAATTTTTAAGGAATTATTGCTATACCCGAATTGGGGGTGAATTTTTACTAAATTTCTGTTGCGTTCAATGCAAAATCCATATTTGAAATGAGTTGGAATCGAATTTCTACTGAATATTAACTAAATTTGACCATAATCCGAATTAAAGAGGAATTTTAGCTGAATTTGTGCTAAAATTGATAAGCTTGTGAACACAATTTGATACAAAAAGGGTTCGAGTTTGATAAGCATCTGAAATCAGTAGCAATATTTCAAGCGTACTTAATAGATTTTTTCCGGAATTATACAGAAGCAATATAATGGAAATGGAATCGAATTTCTACTGAATTGTAATCAGATTCGCTCATAAATCCGAATTCAAGATGAATTTGCACAAAATTGACACGATTTTGAATCGAATTTTAATAAAACATAATTCAAGTTTATTTTGAACTCGATAATTAACACCTGAAACCTTAGACGGAATTTATGCTGCATTTTTGGGGAATGTCAATAGAATTTTCACGGACTTCTGAATTCTGAAATGAATTTGTACTAAATTTCTGCTGCGTAAAATGAATTTGAGCATAATCCGAAATTCCACATGAAATTAGCAGTATTTGTACTAACATTGATACGATTTTGAGCAGAATTTAATCCAAATATGATCCAAGTTTGATATGAACTCGAATCTAATTTGTAATCAGCACCTGGAACCAACGAGATCAAATTTTTGCTGAATTTCTGCGAATTGGACGTAAGTGAAATATATTTTAATAGAATTTTTACGAAATTACTATATTGGATCATAATCCCTTGAGGTGAATTTGTATTTAATTTATGCTATATTTGAATCGAAGTCACTTCAAATTCAGGTCATTATTTTTTTTCAAACTCTTTTCAAATTCCATCCTTTTAAATGGATTCATCTGTTTGAAATTCATCTCAAAGTCGTGTTTAAAACTGCGTATGTTCAAATTTAGAAAATATTCATCTCAAATTCGGATTACGGTCCAATCCGGTGCGTATTCGATTCAAATTGGTTTTAATGCTTATAATCAAATACAATAAAATTAGGTTCAGATACGAATCTGAAATATTGGGCAAATTTGGTCGAAATTCTATTCAAATTATCCCAAAATTCCGAGTGTGCTCAAATTTAGCTGAAATCACTAGAAATTCGGTTCAAATAGTTTTCAATAAGGCTTCAATGAAATCTGGCAAAAATTATGTCCAAGTTCTGTTAAAATTCATTTCATATTTGGTCAAATTTGGCTAATATTGAGCAGAGAGTATTTTTTACCAATATTTCTTTGTGTTCGAATACAGTAGAATTTCAACAAAAACCCATCGAATTTGTACCGTGTAAATTTGACCATAATTCACCGATTTTCCGATTTATTATGAATGTAAGTAATATTAGAACTGAATTTGTACTGAACTTCAACTAATATTGGCCATAACCCAAATTTGAGATGAATTTAAAGCAGGTCCTTTAGAATTAAATACGACCTTGTAACCAATTTTCGTAATGTTTAAAATTGATCCGGATTTGAGGTGAATGCTCGCTAAATTTCACTGAAGTTGAACCTATGCTATTTTAGCGTCAAATTTGAACCCAATCTGTGATGAACTTCAAATCATCGAATAATTCAAATTTAAGGGAATGTTTGAACATCAATTTGAACAGGACTAGTGAATTTGATACAAACAACTCTAAGTCCCTTACGGAGTCCCCAATAATCTTTTTGTTCGTTTTAGCGCCTTTAAAATGCTGGACAGCTTTAAGTGGTGATTAGATTCAAAAAACCTTTTAAAAGTCTTTAAGGATCATTTAATGACAAATTCAGTTTTAGAAATTTCGGGTTAACCACATGCCTGAGTACTTGCCAACACTAAAACCCGATGGACATCTCAAGTAGTTGGGTAAAGCTCCATGCTATAGCAAGCAATTCAGTTACAAGCTTGAAGGAAATAAAAATGTTAAAAGTTAAGGATAACTTACATTCAAATAATGAAGGAATACCAACATTTTGTTAATTATAACAGAGCGTCTGTAAGGTGCACTCACGAAAGAACTTACTTAGGCATTCGTATGTACCACTTGTCGCGTAGAGTGATTCATCCCCGTTTGTAATCCTCTAATTTTCCGTTTAAGAAACTCCAACGCAGTTCATCACGCGCTTTTTTTATTTAAATTGCTCCTGTTGACAACTCTTTCGTACGTGACGCGAATGCTTAAAAACGTTCTACGTTCCGGGCGCGTACACAACATTTTTTTGGTAGCATCCCACCGATGCGATTCAATTTTGGGTACCGTAGATGGAAATTTCATAATTTACCGCTCTATTAAAACATTGCCCCGAATTGCTCATGTGTGCAATATTGGATACTGTTCCTCCGTGTAAAGTCTGCCGATGAATAATGTAGGGCCCTCGTTTCCTGCTCGTACGTTTTCTTAGTATTGAATCGACATGGCATGGCCAACAATTGCGAAATAAATAGAACGTTCAAAGCTCTAGGGTTGCCGTAGTGGAAGAATGACGACTCAGTTTGTCTCAGACGAAAATGTGTACAGTTTACAGTACACAAGGTTCTGGACCTCATTAACGTTTCTCCACAGCATCTCGTGACGACTGGTCTTACAGAAAATACTATCTCAGCATTTTTATAGGCGAGCATTTTCTACAAAGTCCTTTCAACGACTCAATGAGACGTTGGCTTCTGGGGGGAGTGCGCTTAAATAGTCTGGAAGCCAGACGAAAATGCTGGAAGTAAGGTACGGTGAACATTTTTTTGCGGTTTTAGGTCACTAAGTAGGTCTATTTTAAGAATCCGATTGGTGCCACTCTGTCACCCTTGAGCATTTTGAGAAATTCAAGATGGCGCCCAAAAATATCTGCAAAAAATACAAAAATTAAATTTTTTAAAAATATGAGCATGTAGCCCATCGATTTTAGGCTTTCTGAATTTAAATTTTGAGTTAAAAATATTTTTGGGTGCGTTTTGGAGGAGTGGGGGGTGTTTTTAAGGGGGTGGTTTTTATGGTTTTAATATTGTTTCAATATTAACGTGTCGTATCAAAATGGAGGTACACAGCAAGTTATTCAATGTTAAAAAAGTAAAAAACGACGCCGACAGACGGCCCGAAAATAACATAAAACGCGATGATTTTAATAAAAAGATAATAATTATAACAAGCGCGATACGTCTTTTTATAGGTTTTCTTTATTTCTGAAATTACTTTATATTACTACAATAATTTCGAAAATAAAAACACATTTTTCTTTTTGCAAGACTATCAACGCCAGGATGGAAACTAAAAGTGAACATAAAAAAGTGCATATTTCAGTGTGAAAAATCCGAACAGTTAATGACAATCAGTGAACAAAAACTTCAAACAATAATTAGTGCGTGCTACCAACGTGAAGATGAAACGCTGAGAAATTGGATTGAGGACCAGCAGAGACTAGAGATCCATGAATTTTATTGTCATCGCTCCACATCCAAGACCCACATTGCCAGATTGTTCAAAAAAAGTAGGAGACAAGAAGAATCTAAGCCAACAGAAGTGCGTAATCTGCGATCATTTATAGTGCGTTCGATTTTAGAGAAGACTGCTTGTTGTGCACCGAAAAATGTCGTGAAAAAGATCCTAAAAACCCAAGCCGATTTAACGAATTTTATATTGTACGAACATTGGACATAAATCAAAACATTCTGAAAGCCTGTGAAAAACGCCAAGACAAATGGGCAGAAGAAGTGAGATCTAGGAACGTTGGATGCTGCCCAAAACCTTGTTCTTCCTAAAATTGACGTTACGCAATATGGATGGGAAAAAGATGACGAAAACAAAATTTTAATCCCAATTTCTGTCCCCAAAATACTAAATTGACACCAGATTTTATTCTAGAGCTTGCTAAATGCTCTTGAAAAGCTAATGACCCCTGCAGCTCGAACAGATGTGGTTGTCTATCAAATGGGTTGTCATGTAGCCTGATGTGCAAATGCATGATGGATAAAAGGGACGAAAATAAATGTAAAAATCCACTAACAATTGTGGAAACTGCGCAAAATGAATCAGAAAGCGAAGAATCGGGCAACGAGTAAATTTATGTTTATCTGCAATATTTTTTTGTTTGCTTGTAATTTTTTTGTTTAAAAATGTATTATATCTGTAAGGTATTTGAGTTTGAGTTAATATATCTATTTTTTGTTTGTTTTTTATTTTATTCAGTAGTTCCAGCTTCCCCCCTCAAGCAGCTTCCCCCCAAAAAAATAATTAACAAATAGGAGTTTCTGTTTTAGTACCTATTTTGATCTCAAATTCGAGATTCTTATTCATACAAACAAATAAATCGATGTACGACTCGTTAATATTGAAAAAATATTAAAACCAACTCCCCAAAAACACCCCCCACTCCACCAAAACGCCCCCAAAACTATTTTTAACAGCAGATTTGAATTCAAAAGGCTCGAAAACCCTAAAATCGATGTGCTATATGCCCATATTTTTTATAACTTTAATTTTTGTATTTTTTTTGCTGACTTGGCAGTCACCTTGAATTTCTCAAAATGCTCAAGGGTGTCAAGGTGGCATCAAACGGATTCTCAAAGTAGACATCCTTACGAACTACAAGCCGTCAAAAAACCTTCACCGTACTCCACTTCCAGGTTAAGCCAAAAATTCCAGTTTGGCATCCAGACTAAAACGCGCACAAGATGGGATGTTTAGTCTTTCACAAAAGGTTTTCAACGACCCCACTCGTGTTGGGTTCGCTTCCTCCCTGGGACACTCTGTATATGAGAAACATTTCAATCTAAGTATAAAGTAAATTATTTACGAATAAGCACAGAATTGGTTAATTTCATTTGAGTTTGTATTTCTGTAGTGTTAGAATTTTTTGGAAATGCGAAAAGAATCTGTTCGTTTAATTGTAAAACGTGAATTTGCGTGTTAAAATGTAGAAACATCTGGTCTAGTTGCGTGCATTATATTTTTATTTGGTTGTTCTGTGATAACGGGTGTTTTGGTGCTGATAACAAGGGATGCAAGTGGACAACTTTTAGTTATTTCATCATGACCAGTTGACTTCTGGGACTCGATTGCGCAAGAAGGTCTTTCAAAAATGGTTCTACAATCGCTTTTTGTGAGTACCCTCCTTCTCCGAGACTTCGCTCTAGAGATATTAGAAGCAATCACGTGGTTGGTAGAAACTAATTCGTTTCGTTGATTCACTTCATTAGAATACCATCTCTCTCCGTCACCCACTCATCTTAAAAAGGAGTCGCGGATGAAAGTTATAGCTTGTAGAAACCCACCCCTTTCGATGATACGTTTGATTAGAAAACCATTCACGTGTGTTTACACGTTATAATTTCCTTGTGGATACAAACAATACATTTATAACGGTCTTGAAATGGATTACTTTAGTCATATTTATCACTCACAATTTATAACATAACACGAGAGGGAGCATCATACTTCACTTCGAATCATTGTTAGAACTGACTCGAAACACATTTAGATTTGGTTATATAGCAAACGTCGGTCTTTTTCGAAAGTTCTCGAACGCTCCTGAATATTCTAGAAACAAAAAAACACGCCATATTTCCTGGAAAAAATGCATCACATCCGCTTGCGTTTCTTATTACCGATGACTACTCTTTTACGGCCCCTCGATGCCTATCGGGATTTCTAAAATATTCGCTACAATACACATAAACAAACGTTTAATAATAAACACATTAAAACTCTTCAAGATTATACACTCATTTTTCTATTGGAAGTTGTCTTACTTTTTTCTTCCACTGGATTTTTATAACAGTATAAACAGTTTTATGCCCGCACTATAGTAGTGGCGATTTACTGGTAATAGATAGGCGATGAAGTGGGATGTGGAGATTCGGTTCTCTAGATTCAACGGATTAATAAGTTACGAGGATGTTTTTGTTCCAAAATATACGGGGTGGTGACATGACGAACGCCGCCCTAGGAATTTTTTAATTTTCGATCATTGACTTCCCTATTTATTTTAAAAATAAAGTCTATTTAGGTTTTTTGTAGAGAAAAAAATTACGAATCTGTGCATACTATTGTTTCCAATTTTTTAAATTCAGAAAGAGCAAAAATTTAAAAATCGCGTTTATAAAGTCGATAAAGCCATGGAATTATGAAATCAAACAAAAGCGCCTTAATTAGGGTGCCAATAATCAGAAATTGAAATTCCTATGGTGCGTTGTTCAAGTCACCACCCGGTATAAGTGTTATATTAAATAATATAATATTATTATAATTTGCATTATGATTATACATACATACTATGTCCCCTACTGTACTAAAGGGAATATAATAGGGGGACATAGCTTCGGTTTCGGCGTCTGCGCCGCCTCGCCTCGCCCTCTTGCTAACCATCCGAGATAACGCTTTAGTTTAGGCACCTTGGGGTAATAACAGATGGCTCAACTGCCAAAGTCGAAGCTATATATTCCCTATTGTATTACTTTGCGACGTGAGACGACCCAGCCTTGTCCCGTATTGCCGTACCTCGGGATACACCTTATCGGGAGAGGCTCAGTAGTCACTATTTTCAATGGCGAAGTTAAGTATCCCAGGCGAGTAAATGCTAGGCTCCATGGTGAATTTTGCGGGGGGGCGATATTTTTGTCTCTCCACACTTGATAGCCGAGACTTTGAGACCTTTCATTAGAGTACCATGAAGGATAAAACCAGTTCCACCCCACCCACTCCCTTCACGGTTCTCATACCCCTCTGATCTCGAAAAAGAGGTGCACGGGAAAGTTATACTTTGTACAAACCAAGTAATCCCCCCCCCCCCCCCACCACTAAACACATCCATAATCTGAGACCCATTGGTTGTCGTATGCACGTTTTACTTTAAAAAAACAGCATCTCAGGAAATACTTCACATCCATAATCTGAGACCCATTGGTTGTCGTATGTAAAATTATGCACGTTTTACTTTAAAAAAACAGCATCTCAGGAAATACTTCATGGGGTGACCCCTCCTTAACCCAGCGAAATTGTTTGGCCGTCTGGCTACCTACTGCAAAAAATTCCGGGACTCTAGGACCATTCCCCTAGTAGTTCAAAAATGGCAGAAGTCGATTCG